AAGCAAGGCTGTACCGTTACAGTAACTGATTACAATCATCAACTTCTCATCTCATTTTTTAAAGAGACTGCACCAAATTGCAACCAAACAAATCCTTCAACGATATCGTTATTCGAATTTTTCGCGTGCGTTTGAGCTTGCATGGAATCACGAACGTTCAAATGAATAAATGAGTGAGTGGTTTAAGGCTCTACCGAGTGGAGTTGGCACATTGAATGGACGTGAATCAGCTCATGTAATGCTTATTTGGAGACTTCCGCCAGAGATCGGTGAATGGAGCAAAGTGAAACCAGCAACGTTCCTTCTGATGGCTGATTATGAAGACGACGGCAAAAATGACAGTCTGAAACATATTACTCAGAAAATGATTGGTGAGCATTTATTGCTGGATGATATTTGCGTACTCTTCCTCTAAATCTCAACCTATAAACACCTCAAGTTTCCAGTGATAATACCTCACTACTCCGAATATTTAAGAATCCAACCCAAGTGTTTGACCATATGAACCACCTCCAAATGAAACCATTTAAAATATATTACTCTTATTGTTAGTGTTTCTGATCGTATAACCAAAAAAAAAACAACAAACAGGTGAGGTAGCGATTGATAAAGAATGTGATCTACAAAATCCACCCTCTGAAGAATATACGTTCGGAATTGGATCTGGTATCAAGAAAGTTGGTGAAACAACACAAACAGCGACTGAACAGTCTCCTTCGAGAGTTTCCAGTCCAGTTGTTGCTCAAGAGCAAAAAGCTGATGCTAGGTAAGTTCCTTCAGCACATTTCCTCATTGAAAGGACAGTCATTCGATGTTAACGGTATTAGCAAATGAATATTCAATGATTCACCAAGTTGGATGAATTAACATTTGCTTTTAAAATTACCGATTTTTGTGAAAATGAAAGAAGATGGTCGAAATTTTCAAGGATGATAATGCTATTGACCTTGTAAACCCAAATTTTCCGAACTAAACGATATGAGTATCTCCCATATGAGTGTCTACCATATCGTGTAAAAAGCATCCCAATATTCACAATTCGTGAACAACTTTGAACTGATTTTGAAAACATTTCCTTGTTGTGTTCAAAATTTTCCTTTATGTTCAGATCGGAGCCATCACAAAAAGAAGCAATCGGAAACAACCAAATGATAATCATAGGCGTATCGATTCTCATCATATTAATTTGCATTTTACTTTCGTTGAGAGGATCCAAGTAAGATTAACGAATACTGATGTCTCGAATATTTAATCATATAAATCGTCATCATATGTCCCTCCGAACAGTTCTTCATTAATTTCGTTCAGTACGAGTGATGATAATTCGATCAATTTTCGTGCACTGATCACTAATGTTTTTGTCAGAAATCATTTCGTAATTCTAATAATTGAATTGATAAAGAGTTAATTCATTGCACTGTGTTTCCAGTCCAGATACATACAATTGATTATTGCGCAAATATGGGGATAATAGCTTGTTAGGATAGCATATCAGCCGAAACCTTTAACAACCACAAATTACACAACTTTTGGCTACAAGTTTGCAGATGAACTTCTTTACGAATTTGTAAGAGGAAATAGCATCCAACTGGACCGATAAGTCTCGGCAAGAGTGCTTGATTGAGGCCTTTCATTGAAAATTGCCATTTGACAGTGAGCAGTGAGCATTCTAGTGTTCAGATGTGCGGTAATCGCTCGGTGATTTTGAAAAGTAACGTGAACACTCTAGCACACGTTTGCACGTGTAGTAGACTAGATTCCT